CTTTAGAAAAGAATCAAACTTGGGAACTAGTACCTAAACCTAAGAATAAATCTACTGTTGACTATAAGTGGTATTTAAGGTTCAGGAGGGTACTAGCGCATCTGAACCCTTGAGGTTTAAGGTCAGGTTAGTTGCCAAGGGCTACACTCAGAAGAATGTGGTTGATTACAACGAGATTTTTTCACATGTTGTTAAGTACACTACTATTATGATCATACTTGCATTGGTTACACATTTTGATTGGGAATTTGAACAACTTGATGTAAAAACTGTTTTTTTACATGGTGAACTAGATGAGCAAATCTTTATAAATCAATCAAGATGTTTTAAAGACAAATTAAAACATGATCATATGTGCTTATTGAAAAGAAGCTTTAAATCGTTGCATTACCCACGACATAATCTGAATACATCGCTACTACTGAAGCAATTAAAGAAGCTTTATGGCTTAGAAGCCTTCTACATGAACTTTGTATTTTAAATAATTGTGTAGTAGTATATTCTGATAGCTAGTCCTCTATACACATGTGCAAGAATCTTGTTTTATCACGAACGCACCAAACACATTGTTGTTAGATTACATTTCATTAAAAATATTGTGTCACAAGAAATTGTAACACTTGAGAAAATACACACACTCAATATAATTCTGCAGACATGGGCACTAAGGTGCTACCGTTAGTAAAGTTTAGAAGTTGCAAAGATATTCTAAATATCGGCGGAGGTAAATAAGTTCCGATTTTATTGGTTCTCTCTTTCTGGATTATTACTAATACATAATAATTTTCTTTGCAGGTCCTTTGACATCAAGGTGGAGGTTTATCGAGCAAATTGTTATCAAACAACCTCCCGGGCGATGATGTAAGTTATTGTTTATTCAGTCAACATCGACCAAATGACTAAAGTTGTATATCGACACCACAATTGTTTATACCAATCATATAACATATTTGAGCCATTTGAAGTAGCCCAATTAAATTAGCGCTGCTTATGGCCCAACCCAAAACTTTTGGATGGCTTTTTCTGGTTGATAGCCCACATATATACTCCCTTTTGGGCCTTATTATTTTCTAACCTAAAAGCCCACACCTAACCCCCTTTATATATACTGCCCCCTTACTCTTGTGCGGTGTGTGTGAAATTGGTTAGCCCGTGTGTTTGAGAGAAAACAGCGTTCTTGGCTTCATGCTTTACTATGCTCTGTTTTCTTCTTCTTCTTTAGCCTTTGTGGTTGACTTTTGAGGCTACAATAACCTTTCACACTTAGCCCTTTGTGGGCAACCGTAGAGCAACCGGGTTGGAGGTGATTTGGTTTGTGGTTTGGTTGACAGATTGTGGTGTTGATTCAACAATACTGAGCCCGGATCTTTGGATATTGGAGTCCCTTCTTCAACAGTTCTATTTGCTTCAAAATGAGGAACAGTTAAACTCTTGCACTGATGAAGAAATAAAAATAAATTTTTGAGATCAAGCAGTCTATATACTCTTTCAGACCATCCTTTGATTTACTCTTTGAGCAGCTATTCAACGAGCATACCGAGGATCAGTCAGATCACTAATTAGTCCATCTTTTGTCCCAGCAGGATCAATTACTCCTCATTCATTACACGCTCTCTTCAAACACCCAGCTGCTGCTGCCAGCTGCCCCCACATTTCCCATAATTATATCAAGCTGCCACGGATATGGAATAAAACATGATCTGAGATGACCGTCAAATCCTCTTCAAGCCAGTATTGGATTTACTGAGCTTTCTCACTATAATTTAGAACTTCACTACCATTCTATTAGCCATTTATGACTATATACTTTCTTGAAATATTCAAAGCATATGAAAAATGATCGAGTCTACAAATGATCCTCCATGCATTACAAGAAATTTTGCCGTATAACAATATGTAGAAGTTGATTTTGTGTTTATGCTGCAAGAGCTAAATCTTCCATAGTTCTTTGTCTTTTGCATCCTTCAAGGAAACTGCGCCAAATCAATACATTTGGCGGGAAAGGCATCCCCAAAATCAGTTGCTCGGCCTCTTTGAGATGCCCATATCTAGCCAGTAGATCAACAAGAAGGAGATAGTGATCCATTTCTGGTTCAACCCCGTACTTCGATTTCATTTGCCTAAACAATTCCATTCCCTGTTCCACATCCCCAACATGTCTAAAAGAAGAAAGAACAGCTAGAAAAGCAACTTTATCTGGCCAAAAACCCTCTGCTTCCATCTCCCTGAATTTATCCAAGGCTTCATTTGCATGACCGTGCAATCCAAGGGCTGAAATAAGAGCTGTCCATGAAATAACATTCCTTATATTTATTTCATTGAAGATCTTAACTGAACTCTCAGGACTCCCACATTTCCCATACATGTCAATCATGATGTTAAACACAAATGTGTCGCAAGACTTAAAATCAGTTTTCATAATTAGACCATGAAGAGAAGAGCCCAAAGCAAGGTTACATAATTTGGTGCAAACGCTAAAGAGACTAACATACGTGTAACTGTCAGGACAGACTAGAGATCTTCGCATGTGATCGAAAAGTTCAAAAACTTCTTTGTAGTCTCCATTTCTAGAACATGCTGCAATCAAAATATTCCATGATACAACGTCAGGTTCCTCCATGACAGCAAATAACTCTTGAGTTTTCTCATATTGGCCAGTTCTGTTATAAATCCCCGCAATTACATTGGATGAAACAACAGAAAGGGGCATGATATCAGAAGCAACAAAGATCAAGGCATCAGATGCGAAACCATTTCTGGCGTAGGACCTGATAAGAGAGCTTAACACATATGCATTCTCTTTATAACCCAACTTTACTGTCAATGCATGAAGTTGGAACAACTCTAATGGCAATGATGATTTAATAACAATAGAAAATGAGAACTCATTTGGCTGGTAACCTAAGTAAAACATATCTTTCAACAGCCTAACTGGAACAGAAAAATCTCTCTTTGAATATCCCAGCATCAAAGAATTCCAAGAAACTGAAGTCTTCTCAGTTATTTCATCAAAACAGAGGTGCGCTTCTTCAACTTTATCACATTTAGCATAAAAGTCAACCAAAGCACTACCAGCATACACATCAGATTGGAATCTTTTCTTGATCATCTTAGCATGGATGAGCTCCCCATAAAGTGATGTATGCATGCTTGTGCAACAACTAAGAACGTTTACAAATGTTGTCTCGTTGGGCAAGAATTCGTGTGCACACATTTCCAGGAAGAGATTAAATGCTCTGGCTGGTCTAGCACTTTTTACCATTGCTCCGATTAGAGTGTTCCATGACACAATGTCCATAACAAGAACCTGTTCAAAAAATTTCTCTGCCGAGCATTTGGTATCACACTTCGCATACATATTAAGCAGAGAATTACTCACTGAAGCTACACATTCAAATCCATACTTGATTACAGCTCCATGTATCTGCTCACCTAATTGCAATTTATTTTCTCCATCAAAACAAGATAAGATACCCACAAACGAATACTCAGACACTCCTCTTTCACTTCTCATGAGCTCGCTTAACAAAAACATACAATTTTCAGCAAGGCCCATTTGGCCAAACATTGATATCATACAGTTCCAGCTCACCAAGTTCTTCTCAGGCATGCATTCAAATACCACAATAGCTTCATCTAAACATCCGTGTCTCCCATACATACTTAACAATGCAGTTCCAGGAAAAGGATCAGCACAGAACAATCCATTCTTTTCAATCAGTGCCTGCAACTGCATTCCTTCAAAAATAGACAAGGAATCACACGATAAGAGCCCGCCAAATGTAAACTGTGTAGGCTTACAATCACATTTTCTCATGTCAGAAAACAACTTCCAGGCCTCCTCTAAAAATCCATATTGACAACACGCAGAAATCATGGTATTATACGATACAACATTTCTGTGAGACATTTCGTCGAACAGTTTGCACGCCGAGTAAAAATCACCAAACGACGCATAATTCTTGATGATATTGTTGTGAAGGAAAACAGGTTGCTGTGTTGGGATTGAACCCATTTTGATGGTGAGTGCATGGAGGAATTTTGTCTCACTGAAAGATTGAATATTTGAGGGATCATGGAGTAGGTTCGTAAACCTGTGGTTTTTGATAGTTTGTCCATTAGAGCTAACTGAAAAGTTCAGTTTTCTGGTGGAAGGGAAAAAGTTTGGAATTATGATCAGTGGATGTATGCTCCTGGGGCAAATTGATGTTGATTTTCTCATGCAGTATAAAAAATTGCACCTTAGACGATGTCTTTCAGATGATTCGAGATGAACATGAATTAATTCTTGAGTATGAGGGTTAAGGACCTTTAGATGGCAAACAAAACCCGTTTAACCTAAAATTCGTGGGGCGGGGATTACCCGCCTAATGGGGTAAACAGGGTGGGCACAGAGCGATAGTCATTCCCCCGAAGCCGGTACGAGGCGAGTATGAGAATCATAGTCTCCACCCCGCTCTCTCGTCTCGTTTAAAGTTAAATTTAAATTTAAGTTTTTTATCAAACAAAAATAATAAATTTGTCATATTTTTAAAGAGAATATAAGTTGTTTATAACAAATTGGTAAAAAATTAAGAATAATAAAAAAATAAAATAAATAAAAAATAAATGAGGCAATAAATGGGGTGGCGCCCCGCCCCGAACCCGCCTCGTCCCGCTTTAAACGGATATGAGGATTGTGCAATGTAACAAAAATACTTGATAGAACGGGGGTGAGAATGGCCGACCGTCTCATACCCGCCCCGTTACTGCAATGATTGTAGACATAAGTTAGGCAAGTTATACATTTTTAAGCACATTAGTGATTATTAATGCGACAATAAACCAACAAAATATTGCATACCTTAAACGATGTCGAGAAGCATGACAGTTTAATCAACAATTCTTATGTTCAAACTAAGTTTTTTCCTTAATCTTTAACTTTCATGATTTTATGGTCGACTATTTTAAAAATCTCCTAAAATTTAAATAGAGAATTGGAGTGCATTGGGCAGCCGGGTCGACCACTCTAGTCCTTTCTCAAATATTCAGTGGAATCTAGGAGTTTGTAACGATTCACTCAGTTTAAGAAGAGGTTCCGACATTGACATGGGGACCTTAAATGATAAAGGGAACAGTTGGAATCTCCATATAACGCCCCATGTTCGGCCACATATAGCTAAGGATGCGAGGTGGGGCGAGTCGCTCGCCCCAGCATCTTAGCTCGCATCCCCACGAGTTGCAAGCATGAGCCAAGCAGTGGTTCACTTGTGCAAGTCGTTCATTGGCTCGCATGCGCTAGCTCACTAGCTGAATTGTCATAATAAGTGAATATGTCATTTTGAGTAAAAAAAAAAAATGAGGAGCCACGAGCAGCTCATGGGGCAAGCCAAGCAATAATATGGTTGAGTAAGCTGGCTCACCCCCTTCGCACCCCTACATGGATATCCAGAGTTGGATATTGTTGATCTTTGCATTAAAGAAGTGTTACTGGAAGAGATAACACGTGCTGAAAGACTTGAGGATGAAGATCAAAGTATAAAATACTTTCATGCTAAGGCAGTCCATGCTGGAAAAATTCAATCAAGCGTCTTCGAATGGTCTGATGGAATGTTGATAATTGAACCAGCATACAGAGTTGTGGGTTTAATTGATAACTTTTCCTCTGGTCTTTTTTATAGTGAGTAGCCATTTCCTTATGACATTGATCTTTGGACTAGAGCTATTAATTCTGATCATCTTACTACCGATGACATTTATAGTTGATTTATATCACCAAGGCACCTACGAGAATGAGTCAAATAAAGCACCTGAAGTTGACGGGTTTCACCCTTTTTTTAACCCGAAATATTGGGTCTCCCAGAAAGAGGAATTTTTTGTTGCGTGCTTGGTTGTTCTTAATGAGGGCAAATCTAATAGAATAATTAACATGACTATTATTGTGACGTTCGCGAGAAGAATAGCACAGACTACATGACTAAGTTTCGCCCAATCTCCTTCTGCAGTGTTCCGTACATAATCATTTCTAAAAGTTAGGCAAATAGAACGAGAAAAGTTCTCTCCGCCCCCCTCCCCTCCTAGATGAAAACTAGAGTACATTTTGTACCTCTAGGCTTATCACTGATTATGCCATGATCATCGCTTTGGAATTACCGATTCAATAGGGAAGTGCAATAATGTGATGAAAGGATTCATGGCACTCAAACTCGAGATTCAAGGGCTGAAGTTATCGTAGAGCTTATGAAGGGAATTTGTGGCACAATGATGCAATGACTAATTGGGCCTGACTGAGTGGCCCGGCTGGAATTGAAGCCCAGCCCAACAATTTGTTGTGTTTTTTAATTGGTGCAAGAAAACGTGTTGGCCTTTGTAAGCTGAATTCGTGTTTTCTCTTTACCTTTATTTGGAAGCATATGATGTCGCCATGTGTCGTCTTCAACATCGTTGGATTGGTGGCTATTATGTGACTCATTTAAAAGGGCTCCTAGGGTTTGAGATCTGGTGATTGGCTTCGAGACTCTTCTA